ACACATACGCACAAGACAAGTATACGTGGCACAAGTATACAAAAATGAAATCCACACACACAAGACAAGCATACTAAGCATAAATACACTAGATAGAGTTTAGAAACACCAACAAGGATACAAGTTCAAGTATACAGTTTCAAGTATACTAAATGAGATCAAAATACATAGGCAAGCACCAATTCTCAAGTTATAAGTAATCCATGATTAACAACTTGAAATTGAATGCAAAATCAAAGTAGAAAGACTAGGACAGGTGGTCACTAGACCAAGCAAATGTTTCAGGGTAATTACGACCCACAAGGCACTACCTAGTACGCACATGCATAAGTTATTCTGGGCAATTACAACCTACAAGGTACTACCTAGTGCGCACTTATGACTTAGAAGACTCTTGTCTCTGTACTAGAACCAAACCCTAGCTATCACGTGAAATATGTCCTTACAAGCTTCCCAAAATTAGTAAGTTCAAAACTTATACCAAAATCAATAAGTTAGACCAAACTTATATCAAAATCAATAATGCGTAAAACCATCTTTCATGCACAAATAAGGTTGAATCAACACAAACCATGTCCTAGGATTCAAGTCTAAATAGTATATAACATGCCAAGTTTCCAATATGCAATTATACACAAAGTAAGAATATTTTATAACAATTGAATCACATTACCATCCTAAGCCACAAGTACTAAATAAGCTTTAATTTAGTAACAATTGTAATATTCTAACAAGGTATATACCTACACAAGATATATTTAAACAAGTATTACAAGTCAATGATATTCCATATCATGCTAAGTCTAATTATAATTTTAAGAGGCCCCATGTAGTAATTATATATCCAATTAGTAATATGCTCACAAGATAATTCATTTCACTACATTGAAAGGGATTTTCAACCTAACATGAAAAGTCTCTAGATTTCATATGAATCCCAAATAAACTCAAATTAATATATGTTAAAGGACATACCATAGTCTTCACGTATATTATACCCAAAATCAATTTAAGTGACTACAACACTTAAAAATAAAATTAATTAAGTTAATTAATTAATTTTCTCTAGATTTTCAAACATATCTAAATATCCTCAATTTAATATATGTTAAAGAACTCACAAAGGACTATTTTAATATCACGTTACAAGTTAATTCCATTCTTGATACAACTAGGTGAATTAAACTTTCACAAAAGATAAATATTAAATAAAATTTGCAATCCTTATTCAATTAATCCCAATTTAATATATATCAACCACCATACCAAGGTCTAAATTTCTAGCATGCCACAATTTAATTCTAAGTTGCCTAGTATCATGAGAATTAAATCTTAAACAAAGAAAATAATTAAATTAAATTCTATAACTTGAGCAAGGCATGCTCACAAGTTGTATATTCTCATATAACAATAATTATAACATTCATATAATCCTAAAACATCCTGTATATTTGATTCCAATTATGTAATGTGTACATAAGTGAACTCTATGCAATGTATTTGACATGTATGAGATGAGGCCAGAGGCCAATGACATGTATCTTGTATTCTATGCAACTTTACTTAATGAAATATTATGAAAATATTGAAAAATGCTACGTCATTGCTGTGGGAATTCCATTCTTATTCTTTCATAGGGTCTTATAAATCATGTTTGAAGTGTGGCCAACAGCCAAACGGTAATTTGAAATCATTTGATAATTTTGGTTTTCAAATTTCCCTTTTCTTGTTCATTTTTGCCTTTTTGCCCGTTGGGGTGTCGATTTTTGTATCGGTAGTATTTTTAAGCCGTGGACCATTGTAGTGCGTCCAAATAGGTAAGTTACGTTTGCGTGCATGGTCGTTTCCGGGCAAACCTTTTTCTTTGGTGAAATAAGCCTCCTATGGACTAATTTTGAAATTTTGTTGCATAATCTGATCTAGGGGCATTCTAGACCTTTCACATCAGTTTTAATTTCTTCTTTCGACATGGGGGGGGGGGGGGTTTCTTCTTCGTATTTTTCCAGAAAATATCTTCTTGGTACCGAAAAACCCTCGTGAAGTTTCAGCTTCCAGTTTGCATTTTAGCAGCTTTTTGGCCTTCATGACCAGATTTCATGGAGGGGCATTTTGGGCATTTTACAGTGAGTTTTTTTTTTAATTCTCTCGAGAGTCACGTAGAAAATTCAATTTTAGGGGGGGGTTTCTTTTTCATGTTTTTCTAGAAAAACTCGTTTTAACCTCCGTTTCTAGCCTCAGTTCTGAAACCTTACTTTTTTTTTTTTTTTTTTTTTTTGCTGTCGGCTTGTGCATGCCATTGGGCGTCGGTGGGCTCGTGCATGGGCACCGTGTGCGCCATGGCCTTTGTTGGGCCGCCACGACGTCTCAATTTCAAACACTCGTTTTTCCCTCGTCCGGACTCCAAATCGCGTGAACTTTTTTTTGAACTTGATTAACTTTTCGCTGTCTTTCCAACGGTGTGCTCGGTTGCACCCGGATCTTCCTGAATAATTACCAATTTACCCCTTTTAGCCTTAAGTGCTCGTTTTTCTTCGTCAGGCCGTTTCTCCTTCGTCCGTACTCCGAATCATGCTATTTTTGAGTCCATCCTGATTATTTTTTTATTGTCTTTCCAACGGTGTGCTCGGTGGCACCCGAATCCATATTTTTCAAAAATAACGATTTTGCCCCTAGGGGCTTATTTGTCATATTTTTTATCTTTTGCTTCTGCATCAGTTCTCATTGAGTTCCACGACCTCATGGAAGGTCACTTTAACTTCTTAGAGTCCTGTTTTCTGTTTTCACTTCCGCATATTGGATCCGTTATCGGGTTAATCTTCGGTTCATCACAGGACACGCTGGCCTAAAAACTAGGGTCGTCACAATACAGGATCAAATAAAAAATATTGTAGGATAATACAGTAACTTTACTATGATAAAAAAAATATACAAAAGCGAATTGAATATTTAAAAAAAGTAGAAGGAAAGGATGGGTAAAATGGTAATTTTGAAAGGTAATGAGAGGCATTAGCTGTTAGGAATCAAAGGACGGCGTCTACAAGAGGAAGTGGTATGGCCTTTGTCGTGTGTAGCAGTTGTAACCCGGCAATTTCTCTCTTTCTACCCTGTACACTATTGTAGACCTAGTTTCTCTCTCTATATAGGCGGAGCAAGACCAAAGCACAAAAAGACGGAGTGATGTGGTACGGAAAGGTAACACACGTACACAGGAGTGAGAAAAAGCTGGCATGTGATGACTGATGAGCCTTAGACCCAGTGGGGGTGGCTGGCTGGCTGGCTGGCTTGAGCCGTTGAAACGATTAGCCTTAACACACATGTACCGGTGATTCTGGAATTTAATAGTAGCTATTAAATTAAGACATGGATTTTATATTTAAAGGGAAAAAAAAAATCTAAAATTGGATTTTATAAAAATAAAGTAAGAAACAGTATTCCTATGTATTACAGACAATAATTTATTACATTGGTTTATACGATAATGCATGAAATTTCATATAATGTAAATATTGATTAAACACCCAATTATGCATGGAATTTCAAATGATTTGATATTGTCTATAATTAATTAAAATTAACCTTTGAAAGCCCTAAATTTGATTTAAATAATCAATTAGATTTAAATGAAAGTTGATTACAAAATCTACATCTATTTCATCCTAATCAGATTTATCATGTGTACAAATATTTGTATATATTGAGAGAATGCACAAGGACAAAAGCGAAGATGAGGACAGTGAAAAATGTGATTTCTTGATAAAACGAACTAATTAATCTTCATAGCATGTGTTTGTGCGCGCATGGAGCGTTACAGAAAGAGGTCATCCTAGAAGTTTGCTTTTAAAATTACGAATATAAGTTGAATGTAAATAAATAAATAAATATATATATGTATAGATAGATATATCCACACACACACTACTATTACTTTTAAAATTACAAATATTTTAGAAGTTAGAAGATCCAAGTTAGACTGGAGTTATTGATATTCCCAACTTAAACCGAGATATTCAACTCAAACCTGGCCTGATATTTGGACCGAATAATTAATTTTTGATTGTGGTGTGCCCAAAATAGAAAGAATTACAGTGCTTTTATATTTGTAGTACCCAATTAATATATTGACACTACAAACATATCCAACCGACTTCCAATGTTCTTCAAAGCTGGAGTATGTTTTTTTTTAAAAAGTTGTACTACATCAATTAATATGGTAATTCTAACAATCATATCCATGATTGAAGAACCTTATACGTTGATAAAAGTTGCAACTTCCATATTTACCTTTCGGAATAGTCAAGTGTAGTGTATATTTTTCTCTAAGTCCTTGTCCAATTATTATGAAATTGAAGAAAATAAATAACAGTAATTTCACTGTGGAAAGGAAAAGACAAAAAGAAGTTAGAATTATAAGCATGGTAAATATATTAGCTAAGTAGTGTTTGTATGAATAAAATACATATATAAAAAGTATGTATGGGTTACTAATTTAAAAGTATAAATATATATACACAAACACTTGTGGAGACGTGAAAAAGTTTTAAAAAGGAGAAAAGAAATGACAAAATGGGAAATGAAAAGGAGGAACTGGTAACAATTTGGTCCGGTTTTTGGGTGCCAGCAGAGGACAGCCACAAACCAGATATTTGTCTCTCTCTTACCTTACTTTCTCTCTCTAATTAGCAGAATCAGGCGACCTTTTACAACGTGGAATCCACTGAATGGGCTAATCGTGCAACGATTTACTAAAATTGGGAATATTCGAGGCAACAAATTAGTTTTTTTCTGTTTTTTTTTTTTAGGAAGATGAGGCAACATATTAGTTGAGATCCTTTATCCATTAGGTTATATTATATAAGACTAGAAAAAACAACCCCAGTTCCGTCTAATAGTTGTAATAGTCACGTGAATACATAAATAAATAAATAAATATATATATATATATATATATATATATACATATACGTATAGATAATTCATTACGTAAAAGTGAGAAAACAAAGTTGTCCATCAACCTACAAAGGGATTAGATGATTCGTTAAAATATATAAAAGAAAACAAAGTTGTCCATCAACCTACACTACAGTAGGCAACATAAGAGCAGAGGACAAAAACCCATAACAAAAAGGAAAAACTAATGGATAGAAGAACATAAACATTAACAAACCCGGAACAAAAACAAAAAAACTGATAAGAAAGAAGGAACATAAAACCCAAATATGAGGAAGAATGCAAAACCCAACAACCAAGGAGAACTCAATCGTCATTAGAATTATCAGGTGGGGGAGTATCAGTAGGTGGAGATTCAGGGCTTTCGGTTTTACATTTCCATTTCCATTTGCGGCTTTTCCATTGCCTGAAGACTTCCCATTGCCGTTCGGAGCTGCTTTTCCATCGCCTGAGCTTTGCCACTGGATCCATTCTCCTTCTTGTGAATCGAAGATACTTTGACACCAAGAGATTCTACGGTCTTATTCAGAACTATCTGGTCAGCAACCACCTGATTTAGAACGGTATCAAATCTGCTAGCAACTTTCACTACGGGAGCGAGGGCTTTGTACACAGCATCCATATCAACCTCAGATGGGAGCGCTTTAGTACATATTTCTTGAAAGACTCAAACATTCTGAGGCACCGTCAGTTACAGTGGCTTCTCAACCAGGATATGTTCAGCTGACTGTAAACGTACACAAACACAATAAGAAAACCAACATAGACGCAACCATTAAAAGAAAAGAACGACAGAAGAACAACATAAATATACAAAAGCTAGAGATAAGACTGCAAAACCCAGTAATCAGAACACCAACCTATACAATAAAATAAGCGCAACCAACACACCCATTCAAAGAATAGTCAACATCAGTATAAACGATTATCAGATCATAAAACTATAGTATAGTCAAAGCTTCAACAAGAGCAATATTATACCAGACGCAACCCATACAATGAAATACAAAAAATAGCACGAAAAATTTCATCAAGCCCCGTAGTAAAATTTTTTTTTTTCCTGAATGAAGAAAATTTTATAAATATGAAACAATATAAAACAAAAACAAAAAGTGAGGACTAAAACCCCACTGAAACAAAATTAGAAAACAGGGATAAAAAGTTAGGCGAAAACCCTACCCCTTACCCTTGAACCCCTAACTACAGAATTATATCTTGAAGACACAACCCTGCCACATCCAACACATCCCAAACAATGCTTTTAATTAGAATGGGAGAAGACCTAAAAATATCCTTATGCAGCCTGTAGTTCCTCTCATTCCACAGATAATACATTGTTGCTGAGAAAATCATCTTAAAGACCTTATTCCTCAGAGACCTAACTTGAAACTGCTGGGTCATTGCAGCAGCAAACCCTTCACAAGACAACTTTTGAACCCTCCAATGGAACATAGATGCTAAGCCACACCAAACCTGCCAAGAGTAATCACACTCCACAAACACATGATCATCCAACTCTGCATTCTTTAAACACAAACAGCACCTTGAAGCTAGAGATATGCCTCTCCTCTGTAAATTCTGGGCTGGTAAAACAGCATTCTGTATAATTAAAGCACACTGAACTGACCATCTAGGCCGACCCCCATTCCAAACCAGAGAATACCACTGCACCACTGGATTAGGAACTCTGCATGCTTCCCAGGCAGCTTTAAAAGTAAACATTTTATGCTGCCACATAATCTGGTCTTCTCCTCCAAAAATTTGAAACTGCTGTAAATACATTTGAACATCCAAAGGAATATCAGTAAAGTGCCATTGATTCTGAACTATTAAACTACTCAACTCAATCTGCTTGTTTGAAGAAACACTTCTTAAGGTATGAAAACTGAACTTCTCTGAAAGAAACAGTCCATCACACCATGGATCCAGAAACAGCTTAAACAAGGAGAACTCAATCGTCATTAGACTCAAACGTTCCAAGAGCAAGATGAACAAATCTCAGTCATTTGATATATACACAGCATCCTTATTGGCAAGATAACTGACGGCACTTCGAAGTTTCATCTTGCTCTCGGAACGTTTGAGTCTTTCAAGAAATATGTACTGAAGCGCCCCCCATCTGAAGTTGACATGGATGCTGTGTACAAAACCCTCGCTCCCGTACTGAAAGTTGCTAGCAGACTTGATACTGTTCTGAATCAGGTGGTTTCTGACCAGAAAGTTCTGAATAAGACCGTGGAATCTCTTGGTGAAAGTATCTTCGATTCACAAGAAAGAGAATGGATCCAATGGCAAAGCTCAGGGCGATGGAAAAGCAGCTCCGAACGGCAATGGGAAGTCTCCAATCAACGGAAAAGCCGCAAATGGAAATGGAAATGTAAAACCAAAAGCCCCTGAATGTCCACCTACTGATACTCCACCTGATGATTCTAATGACGATTGAGTTCTCCTTGCAGCTCCGAACTATCAACAAGAAATATAAGAAACACAAAAAGAGCATTTGCAAATATCATGAAAACTACTAATCGTCATTCATAATGATGGATCATTTTATCCTTTTTCATGAATGGTGTTTTGACAAGTTGGAGATCCTCTGGAATAAACTTCAAACGTCTCAGAAAATCAATACAAGCGCCTGCAACAGCACCTGTGGTAGTCATCTGTATTAGCAAGAAGAAAAACAAACATGATAATGTAAAAAAAAACAATCAAAACAAAATGAGCATATAAAAGAAAAATCTGATTATTGAAAGCAAGTTAATGAAGAAAAAAGAGAGAGAGAGAGCTGATGAAGATGAAGAAAAACAATCAAAACAAAATAAGCATATAAATGAAAAATCTGATTATTGAAATAATAACAAAGCAGCATAATAGACAATTAATCAAAACAAACATAAACGACTAGCCCTTTTTTCCATATCTCATTTTCTTTATATAATGAGATTAAGATGAATATATCAGATTTCAATTCTAAATATAAATACCATAAAACAGCACTTCAAAATCATTTCCACTTCTCCAACAACTATAGTAGCAAAAACTTGACATTTAAACCATGCCAGAAACTTGAGATATATTATTCAATTAATCAAGATATATATATATATATATATATATATATATATATATATATATATATATATATGAAATACTCAACATATATGATAGATACAATTTCGTGTTGTTTATTTCTAAAATATCTCTTAAAGACTCGTAGAAGTAGTATTTTTTTTTTTTCAATTTTAAATTGTAATGAATATTACCAAATCCAATTGAACATTTTGAAATTATTAGACACATTAATATTATGCTATATTTTATTCCTAATTTCTCCAAATTTTTAAATTTGTAATTGAATAAATTATCTTTCATCTTGCATTATGTTAAAATCATTTCTGTAATTTGAGTTAGGTTTTGACTATTTTGAAAACTTCAACTCCGGGAATGATATATACCATTAATGGTATGCCATATATCATCCGGACATAATAAAATAAATAAATAAAAATTAAAAAGAAAAAAGAAAAAAGAAAATTGAATACTAAAAATAGGAATGGCATAATTCAAATAGAGATTATAATGTTTCTTGTAAGGACCAACAGGCCTGTGGTCTAGCGGTACAAGGCTCCTGCTTCCCAAAGGGTGGTCAGGAGTTCGAACCTCAATGGAGGCAATGTGTGAGTCCCAACTAGGAAAAAAAAAAAAAAAAATATTTCTTGTAGAGAGTCGGAAGCGTATCTAACAATTTCACAAAAAGCAAAATAAAATAATAAAACAAAGGGGGACTGGTAACTTTTTTCCAATTTCTTTTAAACTGACTCCTAGGAGAAAATACATGTCAACAATTATTATTGTATTGTACTACAATTTAACAATTCTTATTGTAATTTGTGTACAAATTCTGATGTGAAAATATAGATCTATAAACACATCTACAAGGGTGTGTTTGGTAGGGTTGATTTGGAAGGATAGGGAGAGAAAAAAAAAAAAGAAAGGATAGGGGGGAGTGTGTTTGGGTGGATTAAGTGGAGAGAAAAGAGAAAATAGGGAGAGAAAGGGAGGGATAACCCTCATTTGGTTTCTCTCATAATTTGAAAAGATAGGGAGAGAGAGGATAGTAGAGTAAGTGATTAATTGATAATACCAAAAATACCCTCCACAAATCAATATACAGAAAAGTTATTCCATTTATGTCCCAAATAAGAATAACTATCCTTTCTTTTCTGAAAGGGTAGGACAGTTATTTAGCCACTACTCTTTCTTTTATTTTCTCTCCTCTATCTTATCCAAACAAGAATAACTATCCTTTTTTTCTTTTCTCCCCTATCTATCCAAACACACCCTAAGTCTTCAAATGTGTGCATAGTTTTAGGCCTAAAGAGATGCCGTAAGAGTTGTGGCCTTGGATGGTTGAATTATTTTCTCTTCCAAACATCAAACATGGAGGCCTCAATAAGTGGTCTATTATGTAGTTGTTATCAAACAAACAGAGAAAGTATTAAATATCGAGCAAAAAAAAATTGTACTGTTTACTAGGGGATTGTCAAATCGTTCACTTTCACAATATGAAGGGAAATGTTATTGAAATGACTTGTCAACCTATTTCTAGTCTCTCACTTAATTATTGTAATATATATGCGAGTTCCCTAGGCCACCATATATATGGATATGGAAAGGCAGCAAATATATGAAGAGACATGCAATGGCACATTTCTCAACCTTTCTCTGTAACAACTAGTCGTCCTCCTAGCTCCTCCCACTTTTTCCCCTATTATGCTCCTTTCCAATGCAGAATTCAAAAGGCATCCAGGTGAATATATGATTACCACTCCCACATTAATTTATTTCTCACTCCTCTCTCTCTCTATATGTCCAAGAGAAATAAATGGACATTGCAAGACTTGGTAGTATTCAGCTTCTTCATCATCAGCTCTCTCTCTCTTTTCTTCATTAGCTTGCTCTTTGTCTCTCTCTTTCTCAAATGAAAAGTTGATATATACAGGGCCGGCCCTGAGATTTCAAATATTTTGAGAGGCCCTAGGTGAACTTTTAAATGTGAGACCCTTAAGTTTCACAAGCGCAAAAAAAAATTATAAGAGTACAAAATTTTAACATGATGTTTTCAAATTCTATAGCTAATATAATTGTGCGCCTATGCATTGTGCATAAGACAACTAACTAATAACTATAAATTTATCACCACCAACAAATAATTGTGCATCTGTACAGTGTGCAAATAAGTATAAATCTATCACCACCAATAAATAATTGTGCGTATGTGCAGTGTGCTTAAGAGAAGTAACTAATAACTATAAATTTTTATCACCACCAATAAATAATTATGCGCCTGTGCAGTTTGCATAAAACAACTAACTAATAACTATAAACCTATCATCACCAATAAATAATTGTGCACATGTGCAGTGTACATAAGACAGCTAACCAATAAAACTAAATTTATCAATTAAAGAGTGCGAAATTTTCACAAGCACAAAATAAAAAATGAAGAGAACAGTTTACTAGAGAACAGAAAACTGCAACTTCTTTTACATTCATTGTTTATGTAGCCTACTAAAATTTGATTATTACAGATGACAAAAATATGTGGAGACGAGGTGACTATATATATATAGGAGGCTGAACTTGTAGTACTGAAGAAGTAGTGGGACTTTTAGGTTATACGTGGCATCCACTATTGTATATAATTTTGTCTTTCACTCTTTATATTAACTACACTACACTTTGTGTGTGTTTTTTTTTTCTGGGAGCCAATTACCCCTTTCTTGATTTCAGGATGAGGAATCAACTTTGGTAGCAGTGATTGATTGATCATTGCTACAGAAGACCTATGCAAATTAATAGAAAAACCATTAACTTTTGTTTTGTTAAAGCCTGCTCTTGATTTCCATGTGTTTGTACATTCTGATGGGAAGTGCTTTGACAGTATTATTAACTAAAATTCTAGCTTAGCCAACTTCATATAACATCAATAATGGTGGTATGTATCTTCATATAAAAATAAAATATACAAAAACCCTTAATATGGCACTTTTAAGTATGAGCATAATTTAGAGATCGAAAAAGTTAATTATTGCCTCAACAGCACACACTAGAAGGGATCCTTAATTTTCGTAGGATTGAACGTGAAAATGCAAAAAATTATGAGGAAAAGGGGTTTGGTTGCTGCTGTTGTGAGATTGGAGTGGAATTAGGGAGAGGAAAAAAAAAAAGTACCTGCCATAGATTATGGACTCGATCGCCATGAAAGACACATGTAGAAAGGCACACATTTATTAAAATACTACGAGAACCATAATTTATTCATTCAGCTTTTGATAGTCATCACACACAGTGACACACACACACACTCACGCACACACAAAACCCTAGCTACTTTTCACCATTGGAACAAAGGTAAAGGCCCGAATCAAACAAACCAAAGTTAGAACAAATCAAATGATGAGATGAACGAAAGAAAGAAACATATATAAAAGATCGATTCAGGGCCGGCCCAAAGATTTCAAATATTTTGAAAGGCCCTGGCAAACTTTCAAATGTGAGGCCCTTAAGTTTCACACGAGCAAAAAAAACAATTATAAGAGTGCGGAATTTTCACACGATGTTTTTAAATTCTATAGCTAATATAATTGTGCGTCTGTACATTGTGCATAAGACAACTAACTAATAACTATAAATTTATCACCACCAACAAATAATTGTACGCATTAAACAACTAACTAATAACTATAAATCTATCACCACCAATAAATAACTGTGCATAAGACAACTAACTAATAACTATAAATCTATCACCACTAATAAATAATTGTGCGCCTGTGCAGTGTGCTTAAGACAACTAACTAATAACTATAAATTTTTATGCCTATGCAATGTGCATAAGACAAGTAACTAATAACAATAAATCTATCCATTAAAGACTGAAATTTTCACAGGCACAAAAAAATTATAAGAATGTGGAATTTTCATTAATATGAGATGATAAGAACATAAATTATATTAATGTTGAAAACACACAAAAGAAAACCCAGTCTTGGTACTTTAAAAAAGACAGATCCAATTTACATCAAAAAATTAATAGGAAATATTCAACACAACTTAGTCACAAAAATCAAAATTCAACTTTATATCAAAGTAAATGTAAGGCAAATAACCTCACGAGATCCTAGGAAGAGTGTCCTGCTAGCATGTGAAAGAAGATCACAATTAATACAAAACGAATGGAGAATCAAACCAAACCGAAACAATAATAACTTACAATAAATAAAATATTAAAAAATTCTAAAATCAAGCAGTTTGGTCGAATGATCTCCTGGCTGGAGTTTTCACTGGAGCTTTGTGTGTGTTTTTGTGTGTTTTTTTTTGGGAGCCAATTACCCCTTTCTTGATTTCAGGATGAGGAATCAATTTTAGTAGCAGTGATTGATTGATCATTGCTACAGAAGTCCTGTGCAAATTAATAGAAAAAACCACTAACTTTTGTTTTGTTAAAGCCTGCTCTTGATTTCCATGTGTTTGTACATTCTGATGGCAAGTGCTTTGAGCCTTTGACAGCATTATTAACTGAAATTCTAGCTGAACTAAACATCAATAATGGTGGCATGTATCTTCATATAAAAATAAATTAAAAAAAAATTAATTTGGCACTTTTAAGTTTGACATCAATTTAGATATCGAAAAAGTTAATTATTACCACAGGTCCCTCAACCCACTGGAAGGGATCCTTAATTTTCGTACGATTGAATTTGAAAATGCAAAAAATTATGAGGAAAAGTGGTATGCTTTCTGCTATGAGACTGGACTTAGGGAGAGGAAAACAAAAAGATCGATTCATGCGAAAGGAGAGAGAAGAGAGAGAGGATGAACATACCTTGTCACGGTGCCACCTGAGCCTGAGGCGATAGCGGAGGATGCGTCCTGCGGAGTGTCGAAGCAGATTGTGTTGTCTGAAAAACTTGCCCTAACTTTCCATACTCTCTATTTAAGGCCGACTAAAATTTTGAGACTTGCCCTAACTTTCCATCCTCTATTTGAGGCCGTCTAAATTTGAGACTTGCCCTAACTTTTTCTTTTCTTTTCTTTTTTTTATTATTATTTTTTATCCATCCCCTATGGGCCTAAAAATTTGAGGCCCCCGCCTTGGGCCAGGGCCGGCCCCGAGTACGTGTGGTTCTCCATCGTTTAGTTTGTCATCCTCCTGGTTTCGATCCTTCTTCCAACAAACGCCTAAGGTCCATGGTAAGAGATTGAAGTTTTTTAAACTTACGGTATTCAAAAACTTTATTTTTGCATATCTATAGACACAATACACTGGTAGTGCATTTTTCCTTTGCTTAAGTGACCTTTATATTTTTCGATCTTAGCTCAAAGCTAACAGATTGTTGTTGGGTTATTTCTTCGATATGAAAAGGATGTAACCACTATTTTTTTTATACAAAAAAAGATTTTTTTTATTTTATTTGGAATAAACATTTTGATTGATTTTTTCCCAAAATTATTCTCAATAAGGATCACGTTAATTTCCTTACTGGTGCTATTATTGATCGTTGCTGCACATTGCCAAACAAACTTAATTTGTTTGCAAACATTTTATCTCTAATAAATGTTATTTCAACCATCTCTCGAATGTGAATCAGCTTTAATTTACTTTTTCTTGGTGCCATGTCAGACATTTATTTTAACATTTCCATTTCTGGTACAATCATTATTTTTAATTTTCATGAATGTGAATCAACTTTAATTTTACTTTTTCTTGGTGCCGTGTCAGACATTTATTTTAACATTGCCATTTTTGGTACAATCATTATTTTTAATTTTCATAAATGGTGGTGGAGTTTATTAAAGATAAGGCAATAAATTACATGACTTTAGACATATTAGCTTGTTGGAGTCTGTTTATAAGCTAATAACTAAGGTTCTAGCCTCGTGGTTGAGTTTTGTTCTAAATGGTATTATCTCAGATACCTAGAATGATTTTGTTGGTGGTTGGCAAAATTAGATTATTAGTGAGTGTGTGGACTCCAGATTGAGTAACTGGTTCCCGGGCTTTTATGCAAGCTTGACATTGAGACAGAGTATGATCATGTGAGCTGGAGCTTATTACTTTACTTGTTAGTTCATGATGCGTAGAGATCATGCTTCCCAATTGGAGATTTCCCAAATGTTTTTTGTAGATGATATACTCTTGTTTTTTGTGATGCTGACATTGTCGGGAAACGTGCTAAATTTAAAAACTTTTTGAAAAATTTTGATTCATTGATCTTGATTCATCACATAGAGACAAGTTTACGCAAAAAATAAAATATGATGTATCATTCAAATAACAGATTGAATACTTACATCAAAGATCTGAGTAAACATTTAAATCTTTCTTCTAAAATAAATGTTCTCACTTATTGTAAATCCCTTAGCAATATACCTTCTCCTTGGATCTCCATCTACTTGGTAATTGTTTTGCCTTTAGGAATCACTCATAAGCCTCCATGAATGACCTTGGAAAATTAAGCTTGTGGGAGTCTCCATTAGATGAGAACATAAACCCTAATTTTCTAGAGAGAGAAAATAGATTCATTTTTCCTTCTGCCAAAAAATCCCCCTAAAATATACATAGATCATGTATATTTATAGGCAACATAAAGATAAAGAAAAGGAAACAACAAATCCTTCTTAATCTCTAATTCACATGTCTCAAATCTAATATGATTCCAATATCAAGTTAGGCCATGAGTGAGAATCCATTGGGCCTATTATTTTATTGGCTACAATGAATTAATAATTGGCCCGTTCCATAGACCCAATTCAATTAATTCATTAATTAATTTCTACTCCACTAAAAGAAATTAATTGAACTCCAATTAAATAATAAATAACCACTAAGTCAGTATTACACTTTGACCCCTCTATGCATAATTAGTTATCGGATAAATAAAGTCATCAATCCGACTACTTAATTAATATATTTATTTTGGTACCTTTGATTATTTTTGGCTCAATCACAATAAAATATTTGTTTGACAAAAATAATAGTTTAAATAAATAAATATATAATAAATCATTTTGTCTAAAAACACACGAAGGCCTTCAAATTTACTTTGTGATCAACCATAATCAATACAAAATAAATACAAGTAGCAATGATGCAAATATTGAAAATATAACCCTCTAACTATTAATTACATAACTATCCAAAGTGTCGGTCTAAGGATCTCGAAAAATCCGCCAAACAAATCAAAGTAATTATTAATTAATAAAAGAGTCTATAATTTTCTTATGCTTAAGAGTCAAATGCCATGACGGTGATAGGGAGCAATTGCATTCGACGGCTCTCGCGATATATCTCAACCTAACGCGGATCCAGTTCAAGTTTTAATTAATTATGAGTCCATCCATAATTACCGACTATGAACCATTTATGATTACTATTTATATATCATGCATTGATTTCCATCACATACATATATATAAATATCTCTTGTAATCAAATGGACACTATCTATTCTATAATGAATCGAAATATAATACATTGAATTCACCAATTGTATAAAGCATAAATATTTCAGAAACGTCAGGAACATCTAGCTCTTTAATCCAGATAGGAATTTGCTATGCCAGGGCATATAAATCCCAACAGCTCCCACTTGCCCTCATAGCTAATTCAAATTGCATCTAACTCCAATGTTATCCAGATGACGATCAAAATTATTGATCAATGACACTTTTGTTAATAGATCAACAAAGTTGTGTTCTAATGCAATGTTCTAGCCACAAGTAAATTTTCTTGTCAGACAATATCATGTAGAACATGATATTTCCTCTCAGTGTATCTTGTTTCTCTATGAAACCTTGGGTCATTGGTTTGGACTACTTCTGCACTATTATCACAATATAGCTTAATAGGCAGGCTAGTATGCTCCACAACCTCTAAATCAGTGAGATCAAACCAAAAGACTTCTTTTACTGCCTTTAAGGCTGCAATGATCTCCACCTCCAGGTTTGAGTCTGCAATTAAAATCTGCTTAACAATTTACTAACTGATTTCCCTTCTATTGAGTGAACATATACTAAGTCATGAACCTCATAGTATCTACTTTTGATCAGAACTAACATACCTGACTAGAACTATATCATCACATCCATAAATGAGTATGAGATCATTGGTTCTTTTAAGGTACTTTATGATATTTTTCACAACAGACCAGTTATCCAGTCCAGGATTAGACTGATATCCACTGACTATCCCTACAATGTAGCGGATGTCCTGTTTGGTATAGACCATGGCATATATGAGACTCCCATATGCCAAAGCATATAGTTCCAGTCTCATTTGCTCAATCTCCTCTGCTAATCTTGGAAAACTACTTACTAGAGAGAGCAATCCATATCAATAAAGCAAGAACTCATTCTTTGAGTTATGCATACCAAACCTGGTCAAAACTTTATTAATGTAGGATTATTAAGATAAGACTATTTTCCTTTTAACCTGATCTTGCAAAAGCTTGATCCTAGGAATATAGCTTACATTTTGAAAATCCTTCATTTAAAAGTAATTGAACAACTACCTCTTTATTGATGACAAAACTTTCACATCATTCTAAATGAGTAGGATGTCATCAATATATATAGAATCAAAAAAATAATGACATTCTCTTGTACACTTAGATTTATTTACTAAGAAATCTTCTGGTATCCTTTTGTAGATTAACTTGCCTTCCATAGGTATCACCTTACTAGAAAGTTCTACAAGATCCCAGATTTTATTAGAATACACAGATTCCAACTCTGATTTCATAACAACTTGCCAAAACGATCTGTATCCATATCAGTTCACGCTTCCGTGTAGCTTACTGGGTCCAACTCATGTTTAACAGGGATGTCCATAACGGTCTCACTTAAAAACATGATTTTGTCGGATTGGATGACAATCCTCCCACTATAATAATGTACCGATGCAGAAATCTGTGTATTAGATGATGCTGAAGCATCAATAGGGAATTCATATATTATTCTCAATTTCTATGATAAGTGTGTTCATCATGTGGTACATCTGGTACTTATACAATATTCTCTAACATTATGCTACTAGGTATGTGATTCATAATATGATTCTCCTATAGATAAACAGTGAGTGTAAACAATCAACTTTTATCATTGAGATCATAAAATAATCTATCCTAGTGTCTTTCAGAGTAGCTATCAAATCTATCATGCGTATGATCTGTTTCCAACTTACTTGTCCATATCAAGCGCACATGTGCAAGACTACACCATATGTGCATGTGATTCAAATTAAGATTTAGTCAACATCACAGCTCAAAAGATATCTTTGAGATAGACTAAGATGAAATACAGTTCATAATGCGCACCGATATCATTAATGCTAAACTCTTAAATGAAAGAGATAATGTGGCATAACTGTTCATAGATCTAACCATGTTAAACGGAATTCTGTTATTCCTATTTGACACCCCAATTCATTGAGCGTAAATTGCGGAAAACTAGTACACTTTACCCTCATTGACTATATAGTCTTTGCACTATCCAAAGAAATACTCATATCCACGATCAGATCTAAGTGTTTTGATAAGTTTACCTAATCTGTACTCCACGTCAGTCTTGACACTTTTGGAATATACCAAAAATTTAAGACTTGTGTCGCATCAGATAAATTTATCCAAAACTTGAGTAATCTTGCTTGGATGTTCATAAGACCACATGTGTCTGTGTGTACTGACTCCAATTGTCCTTTATGTCTATTTCATCTGGCTGATTAAGCCCTTAGAGTTATCTATCCTTCAAAATAAGATTCACAAGTTTGGTTTAGGCTCCTCTGCCTCACTAGGTAATAAACCTTCTTTGACCAATCTTTGAATCTCATTTCGACTTATTATAACCCAAAAATAGACACTAAAAATACAATGAGTCAGGAATAACAATTTTTCTCTTAACATTCAATCTAGAAGATGCAACATTAGTTTCTACATCCTGTAAATCTTAAAAGTTTGTGATTATAGTATATTAACCATCTTTCAATGCACCAGAAGTAATCGCATATCTATTTAATT